AGGCATACATATTCAGTAATTGGGCTATTTACCTTCAACTACCACTCTCTTTGGTTCTTCTTGGTTCAGTTTCAGAAATTTGTACCTCATGTTAATTACCTTAAAGACAATTTTGTTTTGATCTATACAGATTTGACATTATTGTGGCCACACCACTATTATGTTACATCGAGAAAGCTCAAATATAGGTTACAGAAGTCTCCAACTTCGTTGGTGCCACCGCCAACATCTGGTCCCTTTAGTCCATCAGCTGGGCGAGCGTCCGTGGTGTAGCTCCGCCCATTTAACACGGAGATGGAGATACCTTTCCCACCAGAACTACACTTTAAACACGTTAGAAGTTAAGGATCTGAAATACAAATTTCCTCTTTTATTGCACGCTAGCTTTTTTCACTCCAAAATATATAATTAAAAATATATATTCAAGTTGTGAGAAATTCTTATATATATATACATATGAAAAAACAATAGAAAAAAATCGTGGATGGCTTTTCTTGATTTATCAAGAAATTGGGTTGGCCAAATATCACGGAGCAAGCTAAATAAACGTTTAGTTTATTCTTGCTACACTAGATGGCGCTCTGCCATCTAAAAAGCACATGTGCTCGTGGTCAGGAGATGCCTTCTTTATTTTCGATATATACATATATAAATGGAGGATTATTCTTTATCTAACTCTCCAAAAGAGAGATGATACCGCATAAAGACCAAGTTATAAAGAAGGGACTCGGTGACCTAAGGAGGGAGCTTAAAGAAAGACATTTACCTAAATGTTAACTAGACACGGTGAGGGCTTCACGTGTAATCTAGATACATAACACAGAGGGGGTTAGAGGTAGACTATACACACCGTCATGTATTGCTCTACACCCCTGAACCCAACTTCCCAATTCCGACAACTCGATGAACTCGTTGAGTTCACTATTGGACAACAAAGAGGAATGGAGCGGACTAGAGACCGAAGACAGAACTGCTGACACTGCCAACGCTGAAAGCCGGACTTTGCGTCACACGCGAGGCCTCCCATCGGAGTTTTGCACCAGAACCAGCAGACTAGTAATCAGTACCTAGTCCTGGGTCTGTGGAGCGGGCCAAGCTGCCGGAGGAGAAGTTGAGTACCAATCCACGTTATGTGACACAAAATTAAAATAGTGGGTCCTCCCGCCCAACGTGGAATGGTAAATGACCACAGCCCCTGCTATGATCATCACAGGAGTGTAAGCGCTAAAACCCGCCCCGCTGTCAATAGCTACTGTCTAACACTAGCTAGATCCTGCAACAACGTCGTTAGTAGAGCTGGAACACAGGGAAGTCACGGCTCTCCATCTGGAACATCTGTTACACACAGCAGCCTAGAATTCAGACTTTATGGTCAACAGATTGATATTGTCACCGAGTCCCTTTTTTATTCTTGCCATTCAAGCGGTTTGTAAGTTTTGTATTATACCTGATTTTGATGATTTGAATTATAAACTCGCAACAATTTCGTTGAAACCAACCAATTTATGAAACAGCTCTAATCAGCAACTCAAGACACCCGATTCCTTCAATAATCTCAGGAAAACCTACAACCTCTCTAAATTCAATTTGTATTTCTCCAGGTTATATAAAAACTACGTCTTTAAAAATTATAAAACGGTTATATTTAGTTGTGGTTGAAACCACTATATATATTTTAAAATATATAATTGAGTAGGTTGTGAATATATATGATTATCATTTAGTTCTTTCTTCGATAATTTTCAATACGATTTTATATCAGAATGTTTAATATTAACAACCTATTATTTTTAGCCATATTTTTCTAAATGTTATGAACATATCTAGCTTAGATTGCTAATCACATATTATTTCAAAGTTATTTTAAATACTTTAAATTATTTTTGTTGTTGTGTCATCAGAATGGTTCTCCGTTTCAATTTAAATCCACTTGACTGAGATGTGGAGCTTTTTCTTCCTTAAATATAACAGCGCTGAGTTGATATTTTACTATAATGAAAGGTTTTGCTTTCTTATCATATGGGATGGTAAAAGTTTGATAAATATAGCGCGGGAATATGTGGAAAAGAGATTTCTTAAAGGATATTAAGATTGGGCTAAAAGAAGCTCAACTGGCGTCATGTTGATTTTATCAACCCAACCAATCAGTTGGACCAGTTCACATCCCGTGATATTTCCCAAATTTTGGTTGGCTGGTGGTGAATCAAGATTTGGTGATCAAGAAGCTTGGTCAGTCCAGCTGACATTGTGGCCCTCATCAGTAGACACCAGAGTTGACATCTGAGATTGATACAAGAGTTGGATCATCTGGTTTAATTGAAATGTCTTCGGTATGATTGTTAGGGTGATCATAAGAATTCTTACCTGCATTCTTCAACATATTGGTATATAAATTCACAATATAATGTTCGTAATATTGTATATATATTTGTATTACCTCTTTCTTCCTTCTAAATTTGCGCCAGTATTTTCTCGTTTTCATTAATTAATGAATCATATTAAAATTTGTATCATAATTCCTCATTTATTTTCTAATTTTTAAAGTAATATTTTTTTTATTCATTATATTTCTATATTTTAATCTTTCTTTCGTTAATTATATTTTGTCAAATAAATTATTTATTATATCATCATGCACACAACAGAGAGAGAATTAATTGCTTTTGTTTTATGCGTTGTTGTTATTGCCAATCGGAGCCCTTTCCCATGGTCAAATATCAATTAAAATATTACGATATATCAATGAATATTTTTTCTTCAAATTACTATGATATCGATTAGGATTTTCAAAAAATCATTTTTCTTTGATTTACTTAGTATATAGATTTTAAATATTAGTTTTATTTATAATTTAGAAATTATATGCATTAAAAAATATATTTATAGAAATATATAATTATGGATGATCATATTTATAATTGAAAAATATATTTTCAAACAAAAAATAGTTTACTCCATTATTATACTCAAAAGATCAATTTTTAAAAATTTTAAATAAACAATAAATGAATAAATATAGCATTTAGAATTTGTTTCGTTAAATTATCATTTAAAAAAAATAAGAATTATGGAAATATTTATCAAAGGAATAGCCCTACCTTGGATTTTTATCATGTATAATCTTCTTAAGATGGCTGACAATATATATATTTTATATGATATTTTTTTGTAATTTTTTTTTCATATCTTGAAGATAGAGGTTGGCTGGCCGGCATTCATAGTTCTTCAAATTAAAGATACTTCGGCCAGTAAATATTTAGTAAAAAATATTACTGGCCGAAGTATCTTCAATTTGAATAATCTTTTAATATATATTATGAATAATAATAATAATAGAAAACATATACACTTAAATCTGTCTATAGCGCCCCCTCTAAATAGCGCCTTCCTCTCTATAGCGCCCGATTTTAAATACGTAGTATGATGCGATTTACATTAAAAGTGACCTGTCTATAGCACCCCTTCTCTATAGCACCCTATTTTGGTGAGTCCCAAGAGTGGGCGCTATAGACAGGTTGAACTGTATATGATTACGTTGGTGATGTAATTTATATGAAGGAGGATATGTTCTAACAAGTTGGATTAAGTTAGGTCAAATTAGGTTAAATGGACCTGTAGAACTAGCACATTTATCTAGTGTATCGTTTGTCTGGTGTGATATGCGTGTGAGATGTTACACATGATGTTGTTACTCACGTCCTGGTGGTCCATATGGAGGGAGGTCCGACAGGGATCAGCTCATGTTCCATCTAGACAGGTCCGTGGTTGTCCAGATCTAGTGGTGGGGAATAAAACAATTCTACAGGTCCTCAGTATCAGGAGGTTCTAGGTGTGATGATCCATTAAATCCTAGAGAAAGTCCTTAGAGTCCAGCGGATTTGAGTGAGTCTTTGGTCATCAGGTTCAGGTGGGGGATCTCGTTGAGGACAATAATGGTTGTAGGCCCACAGAATGTATGGTTTCAGCTGTAAACAATAAGAGCTCTCTAGTGATGTCTCCATACAATCTAACCCAGTCTTCACTGTCTAGGAAGTATTAGACTTAAAGACTATTCACAGGACGTATCACTCTAAATGGATGAAACGCTGTTGACTTGACTTATAATGTTTGTTTCTTTGATATTTCAACACGTTTTCCCACTTGGTTTTCTATCTATGCCTCCTCTGAATGTGATAGATTTTCTAACAGAAGGGAAATAGGAGCTATTTTATAGTTTAGGAAAAAATAATTCTTATTTAGATGAATTCTGTTTGGATTCTGTCTTGTTTCTTTTGTAATTTTTGTAAAACCGAGAAGTAAAAAGAAGAAACCAAAAAGACCTAACAGGATTATGACCACACACAAAATCATCTTTCATTTTTTATGAATTTATCGAACAAATATATATATCTATATATTATCATATTTAGTCATTGAATATACACACACACACACACACACAAGCCTTTTTTATTGGGGCATCCAGCCCCATACATGATTCCCCTCTACAGGATTTAGCAAAGGAAGATATTTCAAAAGTAAAAACTAGAATACAAGAAGTAATAAGGAAAAAGAAAAGAGAGAAGAAAGAAAAAAAAAACAAAAAGAAATATAACCATATATACAAAAAATAAACATACAGAGCAAAAGGAACCATGCATGATTAAATATTTAAATTAAAGTACCAATGTTTAGTCATTGAATATATACATTATCTGAATAATAATATATAAAACAATGGATTTTGAATTATCACTCCAGTATACAAAATGTAGAGTTGGTGATAACGATAAGCCACAACACCAGTTTTTATCGAATTCAGGAAAAAAAGACAGTCAGTATACCATGGTTTCAGGCTTGCCTCATCATATGTTTTCAATTTTAAAATTAGTTAAATTTGCTTCCTAATTATTTTTAACAAGAAGACCCTGTTTGTTCTTCGAACAAAATAATACAAAAAAAAAACGATATTCTCGTATTTTAATAATATAAATGAGTTTTAAAAATTGTAAAAAAAAAAATGCTTCGGCCGGGAATCGAACCCGGACTGCCCGCGTGGCAGGCGAGCATTCTACCAGTGAACCACCGATGGCCATATTTGGGTATTTATTCCATTCACAAAAGAAAACGATGACAGAATTGATTGTTAATGACTCTGATACTTGTTATTTTTAATGTTCACATTTTCTCTATAAATACCACCGATTTACTTGATAACGAATGATAATCGCTCATTATGGCTGCGCCTATTTTCTCCTTTTGATATATATACAAATTTTATTCTCTATAGTCTTCTATTATAGAGTTCTAGTATTTGGTACAGTTGTGTTTATAGATTTATTGAGTTCACACAATTTTAGCCGTCTATGTGGTCTGGATGTATACTAAAAATTGATCACAAAATTTGGAACGAAATAGAGAAAGTAGTCCATTCCCGAAAACCCAGAAGTCGTAAATTTGGTATACTTGTGTTTATATATTGATTGAGTGAGTGCACACAATTTTAGCCTTCTATGTGGTCTAGATCTATACTAAAAATTGATCACAAAATTTGGAACGAAATAGAGAAAGTAGTTTATTTCTGACAATCCAGAAGTCATAAATTTGTTAGACCTGCATTGCCAGCTGTATTGAGCGATAGTACAAAATTACAGACTTCTATGTGGTCTGGATGTATACTAAAATTTGATCACAAAATTTGAAACAAAATATAGAAAGTAGTTTATTTCCGACAATCCAGAAGTCGTAAATTTGTTAGACCTGCATTGTCAGCTGTATTGAGCGATGGTACAAAATTACAGACTTCTATGTGGTCTGGATGTATACTAAAAATTGATCACAAAATTTGGAACGAAATATAGAAAGTAGTTTATTTCTGACAATCCAGAAGTCGTAAATTTGTTAGACCTGCATTGTCATCTGGATTGAGCGATGGTACAAAATTACAGACTTCTATGTGGTCTGGATGTATTTAAAAATTGGGCACAAAATTGAAATTTAAAAATTAGTCAATTCCCGAACACCCCGACCACTTTTTAATAAAACTCAAGCTATTCATTACGTCAGCGAAATGGTTGCGTCTATTTGCTTTGCTTTAAAGGAAATGAACGAATTCTTTCCTCTAGTCCAGGGGTCGGCAACTTGCGGCTCGTGAGCCACATGCGGTTCTTTGGATGTGAAGCTCTTTATATAGTTCCATACGCAAATATTATTTATGCGAGTACTATTTATTGTTAGCATTAAAAAAATGTGTGGCTCTTTAAAAACTTTGAAAAATTTGTAAATTGTAATTTTTGACTCTTCCTACTCTAAAGTTTTCCGACCCCTGGTTTAGTTTATTCCCGACCACCACGGCCACCTTGAAGTTTGACATTTGGTCACTTGCATTGTTAGTTGGATTGAATTCGCCTATATAAAAGGCAAGTCAGAAAGTATATAAAAATAATGATAAAATTTGAAAGTACATATAGAAAAAATTCATTCCCGACCCCAGGAGCCAGAAATGTTTCCAACTTTTATTGTTAGCTGTATTGTGAGCGAGTCTACAATTTTTTTAAGACTCCTGTGTGTTCTGTAAGAATATTAAAATTGAGATTATAAAATATGAAAGTAAAAATATATAAATTAGAATTAGTCCTTTGCTGAGACTACCCCGCGACGGGAAGTATGCAATTTTGACAACTTGCAATATCATCAGGTTCGAACAAGTATACCAAATTTTAGACTTCTAGGCCCTCTGAAAGTAAATTTAAAGTGGACTACAAGATTTGTGTACAGACAGAATCAAGTTAAATAAAAGCTTTAAAGACTAGGCATATCCTAACCGCTCATTAGGGCATTTTCGACGGCAGAGCGCCATCTGTGGTAACAGCTTACACCATGATGAAAATATGTTGCAGAGATTTTAGTTTAAAAGAAGGGATTATTTGATGTTCAATTATGGTTATTGCATCTGTAGGGTCTGGGGTGTAGCCAAGGGGCCGTATAAGGGACCAAGGATGGTATAAGAGATGAGGGGCCATATAAGCGATCAGGAGTCGTATAAGAGACCAGGGGCCGTTTTGAAATGAGGGGCCATGTAAGCGATCAGGAATCGTATAAGAGACCAGGGGCCGTTTTGAAATGAGGGGCCATGTAAGCGATCAGGAGTCGTATAAGAAACCAGGGGCCGTTTTTGAAATGAGGGGCCATGTAAGAGATGAGGGACCATATAAGATTAAGGGACCTTATAAAAGTTAGAACCTTATCCAGATCAGGATCCGTATAAAAGATCAGGAGTCTTAAAAGAGATCAGGGGTCGTTTAAAAGATGAGGGGCCATATAAGAAATAAGGGACCGTATAAAAGATGAGAGGGGCCGTATAAGAAATCAGGGACCATATAATAGATAAGGGCATTAAACAAGATCAGGGGCCATATAAAAGATCAGGAGTCGTATAAAAGACCAGGGACCGTATAAGAAATCAGGGGTCCTATAAGTGATAAGGGCCTTATACGATATAAGGGGCTATATACAAGAACAGGAGTCGTATAAAAGACCAGGGACCGTATAAGAAATCAGGGGTCCTATAAGTGATAAGGGCCTTATACGATATCAGGGGCTATATACAAGATCAGGAGTCGTATAAGAGACCAGGGACCGTATAAGAAAGCAGGGGCTTATCAGGGACCTAACCTTCACCCATGTCACATTGGCTGCCAGTCGCTGGACCTATAAATAAACAGGTCCGGGGCGTAGGCCAACTTCCGCCTTGCCCGTTAACTCCAGGATCCCTTGAACTTTCCCCCACACAGGCGCATGTGCAAATTAAAATTATTTCATAGTTAAACTTTTTAAAATAAAGAACAATTTATCAAATAGAACACACAGTGTAAGTTGAGTATATAATTAGTTACCACACTCTATTTCTTTCAATTACAAGTATATTACTTGTATATTGGATGGATTTCTAGAATTAGTGGCTTAAAGGTGAAACAGATGTTGAGGCGTTAACATTTCGTAAAGGGATTTTCATACATATCATTTGTGCATTTCAGTCCTAAATGGTATTGACTAAAAGACAATTGCCATATTGAGTGAAGAGCAAAGTGCAGAATCATAAATAAGTTCAACATCTCTCCTCGGTGGTTCTGGTTGGTCTTTTTAGAAATGGGGACAAAGAACGTCTATCTCACGAAGAGCGGCTGATAATTTCAAACCTCTGGCACAGATAAATGTAAAATGCTCCTTCCACCATGTTTGGTCAGCTCGGGAGGAAGAGTTAAAGAATAAATCCATCAAATAACCGTAAGTTTGGTGTCGATAAAAAGAGATACTTAAAAATAGGGAAAGATTAGCTTTACAATAAAAAATAAGAACATAAAATAATGAAAATTCAATGAAGAGGCCTTGAACCAGCAGTAGATTGGATGATAAATCATTTCCTACAAGGAACGCAAGCCAATGAAGGTTAGATATGCAAAAATTGACATTTAAAATTGAATATTGATTGAAGTAAATTTGTAAACGAAAGAGGTGTATTGAAAGAATATGATTCTTATACAGTTTAGTTAACCTTTTGATCTAGATAGTAGTATCTACAAGTTGGTTTACAGGTTTTGTTTTATCAGGCAAGATTCTGTAAGTAAAATGTGCCCTTTCTTCTTAGAATCTTGTAATTTTTTGTCCCTTAACACATAGTAAAAGCAATGGTAACCAGAATGGGTAGAGATTTGCGTCTTTTTTACTGAAAGTGGATTTCTATAGCTTACACGTGTAGAAAAAGTTCGACACGGCGCTAACAAGATGAGCCTCTTTTAGTCACTTGCACTTTGGTAAAAAGACTAAAGGATTTTAGTTTAAACTGAAATATGAATTGTTTTCAGTATATATATATATATATTTGTCTATCTTATACAGATTGGTTACCTATTTAGTGAAACACTTCTTGATACAGATTATAATTATCTTTTAAATCTCATTTTATTTTAGAATATCAAACTGTTTAATGAATAATTCTATCCAAAGTTATGGGATTTGTTGAAAAATAGCTTCTATTCTTTAGAGTACATAACTAAAGGGTTTTCTATACGATTTGAAACTACCAGTACAAGAGAGCTCTCACCTTATGGCGAGAGTCATGGCTAGATTCACGTGTATTTGGGAAAGATAAAAAATGGCTTTGTACAGAGCAAGCTCGCGAAGGCTGTGTTTTCCATTTGTTCAAACAAATCCCAACCTATTTCGAGCAATGATAAACAACTTCCGCCACTCAAACTGAACATCCATCTTCCACCACTGCTAGGTTTCCATTAGCTCTCCACGCTGTGTTCAGGGGATCTTGGTTGCCAGTAACTTTCTTTCTTCCTGCCGGGATAGGCTGTTTGTATTTCTTTATTTATGCAAATCTCTGATAGCAGAGATTCTGATTGCCGTTACCCACCCATTCTGATTACCATTGTTTTTACTATGTGTTAAGGGACAAAAATACTAATATTCTAAGAAGAAAACGCACATTTTACCTAAAGAATCTTGCCTGATAAAACCAACACACACACCTGTAGATATCTAGATTAAAAAGTTAGCCAAAATGTACACGAATCATATTCTTTTAATGCACGTTTTTGTTTGCAAATTTACTTCAATTCTCACGAAGACAAAAAAAAAGCTGTTTAAAGAGCTATGAGTAAAATACCATTCCGTATTATGCTGTTATTTTAAAAATAAATCCATTCCTATCCAAATTGTTAGTCAGACCGCAAAACCCGAAGTAAATTTAATATTTTTTATTCCAGTAGAGAGGCAGAATAATTTCTTTTTTATATCAAAACCTGACCATTTTTATATTTTCTATTGTTTTTTATCCATCAAAAGCGTATTCACGCAAATTTGGCCTTAAATACCCATTTCTTGATTTCTCAGGAAGTCTCTGGGACCAAATTTTTGTTGTAGAGGTAGAGTCTGCACCACGTTGACGAGGGACAACAGCCCGAAACGCGTTCGTGGTTGACTTTTCTTGATTTATCACAAGAAATTGGGTTGGCCAAATATCACGGAATAAGTTAAATAAACGTTCAGTTTATTTTTGTTCCTCTAGATGGCGCTCTGCCATCTA